GAGACGTTTTAAAATGAGAACTAATTCTGGAAAAACAAAAAAATAATAATAAAAATGTTTAAAAAATAAACTAATAATGACCTTTATCCCATGGAAGAAAAGATTAGTCTTACACTAAAAGTAACATAGTTTTCCTTGTTGGTAGATGAGCTGAGAAAGTGGGACTCCAGAAAATCCACAGTCAACACGATAGGGGTGTTCGTGCTGTGGCTTGGGGCTGCTTCAGACTTTGGGGCGTGGAGTTCAGGGAGTGGAACTCTGGGAGTTCAGGGCCCAGGAAAGGATCTGATAGCCAAAGGGGGCCCCGGGGAAGCTGGGCAGGGCTGATTAACCGCCGTGTGGAGTACAGATCTGCCCAGAGCCGATACCCACGACCCATGCAAGGGCCCTGCCAGTCACCCCCGCCCTTGTACCACTGAACGTGAGACTCGTCTCTGATGAAGCTGTCGGGGACGCCCTCCACCTTCGTCTGCAGCCGCTCAGCCCTCGCTCACATACAGAGCAACACGCAATTTTAAAGACAGTACACGATTCTAAACCTCCACTCTATTCGCGTTCTTTACCTGAGTGTCTGGAATCAGAGTCTGTCTATCATCAGAGCCGACGAGCATTCTTGGAAAACTATGAAAGTGGCAAGAGGGCTCAGGGCTCCAAGGGTGAAGCCACCAGGATCTGAGATTTTCTTGTCATGACTCTCCATCCATCCCAAGGGCACCCAACAAGGGTGGTGCTCTGGGACAGCAGTGGCTCCGTCAACCTGGAGGGCCTGAGAAGATGGGCTGGGGAGGGACGTAGCTGGTAGCTGCCACATGGGCAGCCAGCCTGCTGACAGAGAAGCTTGCACCAGGAGCCCTCCTGGCTGCCATGGTGGAAAAGTCACACAACACTGGGTTTTGATGCATAAAACCTCTTTCCTGACCCTTGTGCGTTTGCACATCTCTACCTGCTCTCAAGGCTATTGTTCTCACCCACTGTTATTTCATTATTTCATGGTGACCAGTCGTGCTGATGGGGCCCTGTTGTTTCCTTGGTCCCAAGGTTTTCACGTGGTTGTCGCCGGGAAGATTCTGGAATGGGACAACCAGCAATGTTGATGGATTAAGAGGAGCTTGGCTAGAACAGATGGAGGGCAGGGTGGCATAACGGTGTTCCTCATGGGGACTTGACTCTTTGTTTACACGCACCCAAACTGAAAGCCATGGGATGGGATCCCTCTCAGACACCACCTCTGTTCTCATATAAAAATGGGGATGATAATCCCTGCTTCCCAGAATCCTCTAAAGATTGGAAGTCAATGTGAATTGATCATGCCAACATATAAATTATATGTACCTGAAGATAGGATAATTGATGGTGGTCCTTACATCTTAGATAAAAGTTTTTAAATATCCTGTCCACCTCAACTCCAGTCACAGATTCCTTGGCGCATGCGATATAACACATCCACTAAGATTTGTGTTGCTGCCTTGAGTACCCTGTTTGATTTGAATAGAATGAAACTGTACGGAAAAGTAAAGTAAGACTAGACGTTCAAGAAGAGAATTTGAAGCTCTCTCAGTTGTTTTGGGTGAAGAAGAGGGAAGAGGGAAATCAGAGGTATAGAATCTTGTTCTACCTTATAGACTATGAATGCTTGGTTATTCAAGGTGGATCCAACCTGGAATGAAGTGTGGGTCACATACTTGGCTTGGGCAGTCCCCTTCTTTGTAAGAGGACCTGAAACCATCCCGGTATTTTCTCTTTGTTTGTTTCATTTTTGTAACGTGGCCAAAAAGGACTATGCCTTTGGAGAACTGTTTCTGCTTCCTTTACACTCCATTAAAAACAATTCATAGGGGCGCCTGGGTGGCACAGTCGGTTATGCGTCCGACTTCAGCCAGGTCACGATCTTGCGGTCTGTGAGTTCAAGCCCCGCGTCAGGCTCTGGGCTGATGGCTCAGAGCCTGGAGCCTGTTTCTGATTCTGTGTCTCCCTCTCTCTCTGCCCCTCCCCCGTTCATGCTCTGTCTCTCTCTGTCCCAAAAATAAGTAAACGTTGAAAAAAAAAATTAAAAAAAAAAAAAACAATTCATAAAACACGATGACTTTTATCCCATATTTTAGAACTCTGTCCCATTCTCAGATATTTCATTCGTTTGTCAAATGAGGTATGCTCATTTTTGCTTCATGAAATACGAATAAACACACACATGTCTTCCTTCCTCCATCCCTTCCATTTAAATGGTTAAGGGAACGGCTGAATGAGATTTTTAAAAACCCAGCCTGGAAGACCAGGAATACAATTTTCTTCCTATTTTCACAAAGCCTCTACGGCAAGAATTAGCGTATCTTACTGATTTCAGGGTTGTGAAAAATCTGCTTCTGTGTTTTCATGAAGTGGTTGAGTTGTATTTCCTAGACATGGGTTGGAACAAGAACCTATGTGTGCCCCCAAGTTCTTGTAATTCTGCAGAGTCCAGAGAGCGGATGACCCAGAATTCCTTCATGATTTGCCATTCGCAGACATAGCATCTAAGACGAGTCAAAGAAACAACACAGAATTATAACACGGCTTCTTTATCTTACGTCTATCTGTAATGGCTTTTGCTTTCTAACTTTTCATTTAAAGAAAAAACCCTCCTTTTATTTCCTATGAAATAGGAAATAGTTCCTCCTGAGAAACTTTTAGAGCTACATACAGTCTCTGAACCGCTGAGTCACCCAGCGACTGCCCAAGTTAACAGCTGCCTCTGCTGAACGTGTCTCCTGCCTTCTGAAGATAACAGAGACTCTAGCTGGCGGGAGTCTGGGCCCAGGGCTTTTCTTTTCTTTCTTTTTTTTCTTTTTGACTCTTCCACATGTGTACCATTGCTTTCATTTTTATCGGAGGAAGACTAAACAATTCCATGTGAATTCTCTCTCTCTTTCTCTCTATTCCTCTCTCTTCCGGAAACATTTTGTCTTGCCAGGTTCTTGACCTTTAGGAAAAGTGAAACGCTTTCCAAAGGAAACCGTGAGTATGGAATTCTTTATGGCACAGTTTGTCATTGATATAATGAGGAAAGCGGTCTCGTTTGACCTTTCTGTACCGTCTTGGACAGAATCTGTAAGCATTGTTTCTTGGCTTTTAAGAAGTAGAGAAGATTGATTTTGACTCTCTTCTTGTGAGTATCCCGTCTTAAACCACGACCTTAAGCTTGTGGCTTTATAGCATGAAAATCTAGCGATGACCCATTTACACGGGTCCGTATATGGAAAAAGTAGAGAACTTGGAGCAAAATAGTACACAAGAAAGATCTGGGTCTGTAGAGAATGAGTTGATTCTGTAGCCCAAGTAGTAAAAGCGATATACAGAGTAGCAATTATATTTCAGAGGAAGATTAAAATTTGAACTTGATATTCAGTGTCCTGGCGGAGGTAAGCTAGGGGAGACTGTGCCCACATCCAGATGAATGAAGGTAATCCTATGGAGATTTTTCAAGTTATTGCCCTAAACAGGTTGGTCCCACTTATGGTGTTTAACAGTATAATCTTTTATGTTGTGGAAGCCAATTACTGAGATGCTAATAATTTGAAATGTATGATAATTGGATAAAAGATGTGCTGAACTTTTTGTTTGTAGTGTTTGTAAATATAAAGCAAATAAAAAAGTGGAGAAGATTAATTTTGACTTAATTTGTATACAGAATGTATATGTTATATATCCTAATTAATTTATATATATATTTATATTTATATATATCTTAATTTATAGAATGTAATAGATGTTGGCACACATTTATGTGAAAAGTTGGAAGAATGTCCTGAGTGTTAAAGAATTATTAGCCAAAAGGATAGCTAGATAAGGTTGAAATTATGTAGATACACTGGACCCCTAATAACAACAGGCTTCAAGACATCTGAATCTAAGTCCCACAAGAGTGAAGGCCTGGGTACATACAAAAGGGACATCACAGAGATTTGAGCACCAGTAAGAGAAGATTTTTAACTTTCAGGCTATGGAGACTAGTGGCCCAAAGGTGCTGGAAACTGCAGAGGCGATCCAGGAGAGACGTCGGGAGGTGCTGACTCGGTACCAGAGGTTCAAGGAGCTGGTTGCGGAGAGGGGTCAGAAGCTCGAAGAGTCCTATCATTACCAGGTTTTCAGACGGGATGCAGATGACCTAGAGAAGTGGGTCTTGGAGAAACTCAAGATTGCCGATGATAAGAGCTACGAAGATCTAACTAACATACAGGTACTCAGTCGTTTGACTTCCCCAGAGCAGACCCTGAGATCTCCAGGGAGGGTAACATTCTTGTAACGTAAGTGCCTAGTTAGTTAACTGTCAGGAGATAATGTCACAGAAAGATCAGACTACCCATTAGGGACCATAATTCTGTTTCCAAATGGCCCGTGTCTTTCACTTCTCAAGCCTCAGTGCCTTATTTACAAGCGAAACTCGCTCTATGAATGTATTCTTTTTTTTTTTAAGTTCATTTATTTATTTTTGAGAGAGAGACAGAGAGAGAGAGAATGGGAGGGTCAGAGACAGAGGGAGAGAGAGAGAAGCCCAAGCGGGCTCTGCCCTGTCAGCTCAGAGCCCAATGTAGGGCTCGAACTCACAAACCATGAGATCATGACCTGAGCTGAAACCAGGAGTTGGGCACTTAACTGATGAGCCACCCAGGCGCCCTTCTATGAATGTATTCTGAATCTGAAATTAAGCCATGAGCGAAACAGTGACTGAGAGTTCAAAGAATTTATGACACACTCTGTGATTTTAATATTTTGAGGTGAAGAAACGTCAGTGCCTCAGAATCAGTTGCCCTCCACCCTGCTCAGAAGGATAGGAATAAAGTGGAATTTTTCCTGGGTTTCTCCCAAGGGGCTCTCCATGCCCTTCATAAGTCCACATGACAGGTGTCAGGAGGAGAGCTTTGGTGGAAGCTCCTCTCCTCCTTGTCCTACAGCATGCGACAGAGTCACGACCAGGAGAAAAGGTAACCTGCCTAAAAAGGGTACTTGATGTTGGAGAGGAAGCACTGGGTCAAGAACAAAGTGATATGGATTAAGTGCATCCATTTATACAGGCCAATAACAGCATAATCTGAGAAGCAAAAACATCTCAATCACAAAAAAGCCATTATTGTAATAATCACTTTCCTCATTGCGTTCAACTTTCCATAGCACTTACTTCCTCTTTTCTGAAGAGGAACAAATGTGGGGCATCTTCTCATTCCCACCGATGGCGATGGAGGGTATTTACTGGAAACTCCCCAAAGGCGATGGGAACAGGACAAAACATTTCTCTGTGGCCCTTGACTTTGAGCCTGGGGGGGCCAGGAGTGACCATTTCTTGTAGGACGTGACTCCTCCAGCCCTGAGCACGGGTTACCACTTAATCTAGGTTGTGAAGCAAGTAGTTCCGCCCGAAAGTAAAAAAAGGAACAGAAGAACATTTTTAGGACCCAGGGACGCTAGGCTTCATTAGCCATGTCCTCTGATTTCTTTTTTTTTTTTTTAAGTATATCCATACTTTATTTGTTTTATTTTTACTTTTAAAGTTTTAATTCACTTTTTATTTTTTACACGTTTTTATTTTATTTTTTTTTTTTTAATATGAAATTTACTGTCAAATTGGTTTCCAGACAACACCCAGTGCTCATCCCCACAGGTGCCCTCCTCCATGCCCCTCCCCCACTTTCCCCTCCCCCCACCCCCCCCATCAACCTCCAGTTTATTCTCAGGTTTCAAGAGTCTCTTACTGTTTGCCTCCTTCTGTCTCTGTAACCTTGTCCTCTGATTTCTAAACTTCAGGGCAAGTATCGGAAGCATGAATCCTTGGAAGCAGAAGTGCAAGCAAAGTCCAGGGTCATTCCTGAACTGGAAGAGATCAGGGAAACCCGGTTTGCCGAGGGGCATTTTGCCCATGAGGACACCAAGGTAACTATACGACATGACTCTGGAAGAGATGAGTCCAACTTTTTATTACGTTATCAGAGTTTTCATTGATTATGCCAGGTATGCAGCTAGATGCAGCTGGCTTGGAACCGGGGTTCCTGCCTCTGATCTTCTAGTGGGGTGGGGCAGGAAAAATGACGGGACGTCCTCCTGTTCCTGGGGTGGGAAATGAGCTATGACACAAAAGCTATCCTGGGATAGCATCACACTCCTCCTTGACTACCGCAGGATAACTTTGCTGAAGATCAAGTCCTTTTCAACCCAGTTCCACGTGTCCCAGATGACTTGGCCTTCCCAAATGTCATTTCATTTTTTTTTTTAATTTTTTTTTTAATTTTTCTTTTTTTACAGAGACAGGGTGTGAGTGGGGGAGGGACAAAGGGAGAGAGAGAGAATCCCAAGCAGGCTCCATGCTCATTGTGGAGCCCGATGCGGGGCTTGATCCCATGACCCTGGGATCATGACCTGAGCCAAAATCAAGAGTCAGACGTTCAACCAACTGAGCCACCCGGGGGCCCCTCCCAAATGTCATTTCTGATTATTTCTTCTGACCTCAGGGTCCATGTTCCTTAGACTCTTCAAACAAGGGATGTTCTGCCATTTGAATCTTCTCTGAAATGCCTGTCTGTCTGTGATGCCTCCTTCTCTTCACAGCCCACGTGCTGTGACTACTATCGTAGTTCTGTAATCTGCTCCCCAAATCCTGTCTTCAGAAAGTCCTCCCTGAACACTGAGGACTGAAGACCATCACCCCTTTGGAATCCATTACTAACAGATCAACTCTTTTCTGACTTCATTCACACACTCTTCCAACATGCTTGTGTTGATAAAGTCACTTCAGGATCTCTTCTGCATGAGTGAGATCTTTCTTTCTTTCTTTCTTTCTTTCTTTCTTTTTTCTTTTTTTCACTGAGTTTTTTTGTTTTGTTTTGTTTTGGAAGCGTCAGCCCAGATTTACGTTACATATTTAAAAATTGGGTCTAGTCTTTCCACATTTGGCATACAAATTCTGGTCCATTTTACTGTCAACAAAATATGGTCAGAGAACACAGACTTTAACCAGAAGAGAACCTTATTGGAAAGGAGTCTGTAACGAGAAAAATCTCAAAACGTACCTATTGGTGTACGATTGAAATCGTTTTTGTGTTATTCCCAGCTTTGTGTGCCACAGATCCCCTACATCAATTACAATATCTGAGCCACGTTTGAAACCTTTTCACAACTATCGGACTCACTGTGCTCCATCAGACTGCACCACTATAGGATTCGGAGAGAAGTGTGGTCTGTGTGCTACCTTATGCCATGGACCAGTTGGAAAATATAAGATTCTTGTGGACATAACACAGACGATACCTTCAGTTTTTCAAGTTATGTAATACATGATCTTCTAAGCTAACCTGGCATCAAAGCCTTCGACTGCATAGTCCAAAAATTCTCTTATGGTTTTGGTGCCACAAATCTCCACTACAAGTTAGCAAAACTGTAACTCTCACTCCTTCTGGCAAACAGTTCGTGCTAAGTTTCTTCTACGACTTGGCCAGTACTTAGAACGCCCTCTGCCTATCATGGACCCTTCCAAATCCTATCTGTTCCTCAAGGTTCAGTTCACATGAGCACTCTTCCATGAATCTTTGTGGCCTCCTGTCTTATGGTCGGCAATCGTTTCATCCTGTAAAACCTCAAAGCACGTTTACATTTTTTTCTCTCATGGCAGATCACATCCAGCCTGGTTTAGCAGCTACTCCCATGCACGTCGATTTCCTCCTGTAAATGTTTGTGGAGCCATTAATGCACGAGCGGATGACATTTTTATCCAGCCCCCCTGCCCCCCGGTGGAGCGTGCACCTGCCCCAGCTGCCCTAGGCAGGTGCGGTGTCTGAGCGGTTTTGCTTCTCTTCCCAAAGGCCCATCTGGAACAGCTGCGCACGCTGTGGGACCTCCTTCTGGAGCTGACCCGGGAGAGGGGCGCCCTGTTGCTGCGGGCCCTGCGTCTACACCAATACCTGCAGGAGTGCGCCGACACCTTGGAGTGGATCGGAGACAAGGTGGGGACCACGCAGGACACAGAGGACTTCCCGTTCGTGTCCCAGGCACCCCGCGGCCGTTGAACGCAGGCTGTTCGTAAACCAGCCTGGGTACCTGTTCCTGGACCCTGTTCCCGGAAAGTAGGAATTTTGGCAGAGATGTGGGGGTATCCTGGAGACCACTGACATTGCAATGTGGGGGGAAAGTGCTCCCGGCCTGTCCCCGGCTACTTTCCGTGCCCCTCAGCTCCTCCTGAATTTTTGCTCTGACTCTGGGTCCAGGCTGGCGGTGTTGCCTGCTCCTTCCCTAAGGGCTGCCTCTCAGTACCTGTAACTATTTTTCTAGACACTGAAAGAATGATCCCGTAGTTAGGGCTGAAGATAACAAGTAAGCAAGTAAGTGCATAGTGCAGCCCTTTTGCAGATACTCAGTGTGTTGACCTGAGTAGAACCAGGATGAATTTATTTCTCATGTTCCAAAGTACAAAGGGTGCTTCCGGGAGCCTTGGCCAACCATGTCCCTGGTCTTTCTGGAAGATTACCTCAAAGAGTGCCATGCCCTGGGCCAGAGTGCTCCCTCCAGACACCCGCTCCTGCTTCTGGCTCTTTCCTCAAGGTCTCTCCCAGGCCCCACCAGCCCCTCCTTCTGAGATTTCCGGGGACTGTGGGCAATGGTTTGGGGCATTTGAACTGCAGGAATTCTGAAACGTTTGCCGGTGACTCAACAGACTTTCCTGGTCCACAGGAGGCTATAGTGACGTCAGCAGAGCTGGGTGAGGACTGGGAACGCACAGAGGTCCTGCATAAGAAGTTTGAGGAGTTCCAGGCGGACCTGGAAACTCAGAAAAGAAAACTGGATGGAATGAACCAGTATGCCAACCAGTGTGCCGAGGTGAGATTGGGAGCAGAGGGTCAATGCAGGGAAGGGCTCCTGATGGCCAAAACCTTCCACCATCAGCAGGTGGGACGTGAGGGACACGGGCATCGGGAGAAAACAAGGCTGCGTGTCTTTGTCGTAACAGGTCCGGGGCAACTTCCTCTCCTGTCCGGGTCATCCCTTGCCAGTCTGTGCAAATAGAGGCGTGACTGGGAGGGAGAGCGTATGTGTTCACACCTGTGGGTGTGCCTGTGCACATGCGCGGAGGAATGAGACCCGCAACCGGGTAACTCCTGTGCGGAACACCAATCGGTCAACCACTCAGTTTTATGCAGCACCCTTTTCATGGAGAAGAACCCGAATAAAGCAGCAAAGAATGTGAAATAATGGTGGGCTATTGTAATATGGACGATGTCATTATACATGATGTTTGTGAGTGGGGGAAGGAGAAGGGAGGCAGATTTACCTTCCTTTACTTAAGAAAATGTTTAAATAAGCTTTCAATATCTGAGTGAACAATTCAGTGTGGAGCTACATAACTGTAGGATGTGCCAAGAAAACCAGGAAGCCAGCCTGGTTTTATTTGTACATAAAGGAAATTTTATGTGGATGTAAAGGAAATTTTATGTGGATATAAAGGAATTCGAAACTCCAAGCGTTGGCTATTGTGCTTTTCCACGTGGTCTCATCCTCACTGCATCTCCAGAATGGCCACGATCTTCCTGTACTAACAGAACCGAGATTTCAGGACGAATGGCTACCTGAGGGGGGAAAGTAACTGACTCTCCGTTTTTTTCCAGGCCACGTTTCCAACAGTCTCTAAATTTTCTCTTTCCGCCACCTTTGTCTTGTTGTGGAAGCTGTTTAGTTATTTGGTGCTATCTCAGAAACCATCACAAAACTGAAAACAACAAACGTGTTACTTCTTCTGGATTCAGCGGTTCAGCTGTTCCGCTAGACAATGCTCCTGGTCCCACCTGGGTTTCTTAAGTGGCTGCAGTTTATTTGGTGGCTCAGTCGGGGCAGAGGGTCTAAAACGGCCTTGCCCCCACGTCTGCGGCCTTGGCGAGGATAACGAGGGGTTTCTCCACACGGTCTTTCATGTTTGTTTATGTGTCAGCATTCCAAAGGTTAGAACAGAAGCTGAAAGTACAGGAACTCGTATCATTTCTGGCACATTCTATGGTAAGCGAGTCATAGGCCAACCCAGATCCAAAGCGTGAGGAAATGGACTTCACGTCTCGAAAGGAAGGCTTCCTGGTAAAATAGCATGGCCATTTAACCTACCACGGGAAGGATCAACACAGCTTAGAGAGCGTCCTCTGCTCTTTTGGACCGGGACCCACACAGCGCCAAACAGAAAGGACCATCTAGCCAGGAAGGAGAGTCTCGAAAATCCCATCTGGAGCAGCTTCAGAATTGGGAATGGAAATGTGAAGAGACAGGGATGGGAGGAGCAGAAAGACAGACACGTGGGAACTACTCAAAAGTGCCAAGTGTCAACATAGGCTGATGCTGTTAACTTAACCTAGTATTCATTAATCTCAGTGCTTTAGATGCTTTGCAGCAATCCATGAAGTTTTTCTCCAAAATTAAATGTGGATACATGTGTGTATAATTCTCTATAATCTGTCAGTAGATTCTCAAAGGCGTCAGGACCCCAGAGGAGTTAAGAACCACAGTAGCAGAGTTTTGGAAAATAAAGTCATATTTCACAGACGGGACTTTTTCTTCCTTGGTTTTCAGGATTTTCAGGGGATTAGCAGGCACCAACAAGGTGGAATTCTGAAAATAACACCATGGCTGGGCAATGTGTGTTGATAGGGTGCCCCAGGGCTGCGAGTGAAAGAGACCGTATCTGGGTGCTTGGCCTCTGGATTTTGGCAATGTGGATCGGGTTAAAGCTAGGGCGCAGGGCTAAGGTGAAGATTGGGATCTGGCCAAAAGGTCGTTCTCCATGCCTGGCAAAGTACAAACTAGCGTGAAATGAGAAATGTCAAATGATTTTTGGAATAATCTCAGCTTTGCCTCACTCCCGCACTGGTCCCCTCCCACAGGAGAAACATCCTGACCTGCCCTTGATTAAGCTAAAGCAGGATGAGGTGAACACCGCCTGGAAGCGTCTCCTCAGCCTGGCTGGGCAGCGACAGGAGACACTGGCCAATGCTGCAGACCTCCAGCGATTCAAAAGGTACGAATCTGGCCCGCACGTTATGGGAAAGTCTACGACAGCGCCACATCTAATTGTGCCAGCCTCTGTCCGCTGCTGGCAATTACCGGCCAATCCCTCAAACCAAGGGAAATCATGTGCTTGCATTTAAGGCAGCAAGGGAGAGCGTAGTTAAGACAGCTGTGACCCACCCCGTGGCCAAGCGTGCGATGACTGGAGCCTAAAGCTATAAAAGTAGCTCAGGTGAATTAGCGATAGAAAGGCTGCAGAGGCAAGGAAAGCATATTACGAACTGGATGGGAGTGGAAGGTTGAGTCGGGAAGAAGAAAGACTCATGAAGAGCTGACCCAGTTATGGGAAGTATATGCAGAGGCCCAATGACCAGGGAGATGCCCAGGCCCCTACATGTCAATGGAAGCCATTAAAAGCAAGAACTCTTTGCATTACTCTTCGATAGTGAGTAGGAATTCCAGGTAATTGCTAGCCGAGTGGACCAGGGCGGTCTTTGCCGTGTGTGTTGTTTGCCCTGTAATTCCTGACATCTTCTTTGTTGGAGCTCATGTGGCTGTCTGGCAGGGATGTGACGGAGGCCGTCCAGTGGATCAAAGAGAAGGAGCCTCAACTCACCTCTGAGGACTATGGCAAAGATCTCATTAGCTCTGAGGCGCTGTTCCACAGTCACAAAGGTCTTGAGAGGAACCTTGCAGTCATGCAGGACAAGGTAAGCCACTGCTGGAAGAACGGCCAGCCTCCTGGGCTAGAAGAGGTATTTGCTGGCCATCTTGCCTCCAGAGGACACAGTAAGTTCATTATTTCAATGAGGGAGAAATTCCTCGGCCCTGAATATTCTTCTTGTTCTAGTTCGTGACTTATACATGGCCATTGGATATCCTTTAGTTTTCTTTAAAGATACACAGATTTTTATATAGTCTTGTGTTTTTTTGCAATGAATTTCGTGATTTTAAAAACAAAAAAAAAGCTACCTCCCAGAATGGCCTCCTAATCTCACTCTGTACCTGCAGCCAGGGAATCTTTTTTTTGGTCAAAACACACTCATCAGTTCCAGCTCAATCTTGCTTGGTTTTTTTCCTGCACTCGGTAGATAAGGGAAGACATTTCTTCTTGCTCTTCTATAAGAAACTCAGAGACACCTAGGGCACGTTACTAGGTCCACCTTTGGGTTTTCTTCTCCTTTTTAAAAATTTTTATTTATTTAAATTCAAGTTAGTTAACATACAGTATAGTCTTGGTTTTAGGAGTAGAATCCACTGATTCATCACTTACATAGAACACCCGGTGCTCTTCCCAACAGGTGCCTTCCTCAATGTTCATCCCCCATTTAGCCCATCCCCCCACCCACCTCCCCTCCAGCAACCCTCAGGTTGTTCTCTGTATCGAAGCATCTCTTATGGTTTGCCTCCCTCCCTGTTTTTCTTATTTTTCCTTCTTTTCCTCCACATTCATCTGTTTTGTTTCTTAACTTCCATATGTGAGTGAAATCATATGATATTTGTCTTTCTCTAGCGGACTTGTTTTGTTTAGCACAGTATACTAGCCCCATCCACATTGCAAATGGCAAGCTTTCCTTCTTTTTGATTGCCGAGTAATACTCCATTGTTTATATAGACCACATCTTCTTGATCCATTCGTCAGTCGATGTTTGGGAGCTTTCCATACTTCGGCTATTGTCAATAGCACTGCTGTAAACATTGGGATGCATGTACCCCTTCAAATCAGCACCCTTGTATCCTTTGGATAAGTACCTAGTAGTGCAATTTCTGGGTTGCAAGGTAGTTCTACTCTTAACTTTTTGAGGAACCTCCATACCGTTTTCCAGAGTGGCTTCACCAGGTCGCATTCTCACCAACAGTGCAAAAGTGTTCCTCTTTCTCCACATCCTCTCCAACATCTATTGTTTCCCGCATTGTTAATGTTAGTCATTCTGACAGGTGGGAGGTGGTATCTCATTGGGGTTTTGATTTGTGTCTCCCTGATGATGAGTGATGTGGAGCATTTTTTCGTGTGTCGGTTGGCCATCTGGATGTCTTCTTTGGAGAAGTGTCCATTCATGTCTTCCGCCCCTTTCTTCGCTGGATTCTTTGTTTTTTGATAAGTTCTTTATAAATTTTGGGTACTAACCCTTTACCTGAAAGCTGGAAGACGCGGGTCCCTATCCCTAGAGGAATAGACATAGGCATGCCGGAACTTAGTACAAGCCCCTACTCCAGACTGACTTCCATCTTTGCTTCTTCCCCCTCACAACATCACCCATAAGTTCAACCAACTCCATGGAGTATGCACAGCAGTCAGCCCACTGAAGGGCCCCGTGTGCTGTGCCCTGACCGTAGCTCTGTCCCTGGAGCAGTTTTGTATTTTGTCTTACTTTTTTCTCCCGATAACAAAATCTCAAATCCTAGACGACATCTGATGATAGTTGAATATAATGATTCCCACAACAATATTTATGGAAACAGTGTAGAGGGTGGTGAGTGACAGCCTGAGGTCTAAACCTTGCTCCTGGTACTTAGTCACTAAATGCCCTTGCACTAATAAATACCATCCCAGCTTTTGCAAAAAAGGGGAATAAGAATAGTTTCTACCTCTGAGTACTATTTTCAAAAGACTGGAAAACAAGCAAACACATGTGAAATGCTAAGCACCATAAGAAACAAACACGGTCAGTAAATTATTAATGCTGAAATAGCACGTCCGCATATTAACATAAAAGCCTCCGTGTACGTGTATTAAGTTATTAGCATTCATACGGCTGCTTTCTCGGATCTCTCCCGCCAAACTTTGTCAGGGAGAATCAGAGTGCTTGGATTTCCCACCGCATTTCTTTCTCATCCCCTTTCTCTCTTTCTCTTTACCCAAAGGTAAAGGAGTTGAGTGCCAAAGCAGACAGGCTGATGCTTTCCCACCCTTCAGATGCATCTCAGATCCAACAAATGAAGGAGGAGCTGGTCTCCAACTGGGAGCACATCCGCGCCTTGGCGACCAGCAGATATGAGAAGCTGCAGGCTTCTTATTGGTGGGAACCCCCTCTTCCCTCTTGCTCTCTCTCTATAGGGTTCGGGTATAACGTCAAAAGCAGAAATTAAGAGTGAAAGCGAAGACATGAGGAGGGACCCAGCCCTCCCGCCTCCTCAATGGTCGAGGCAGAAAGAAGCTTCATTTGTTAAGAGGAGCCCTCTGCAGGTTGATGTGACGGTCAGAATGGCACCTCCACTCACTGCACCCCGTCTGTCTTCTTCCACTTGCGCAGTTGTAGGATGCTAGGAAGCTGCCCGGGGACCCAGAAAAGCAGCTAAAGAAACACCAAAATCCTGGCCCCAGTATAGGCACCGAAATAAACTTCCAGGCTGAAGGGCATAAAAATAAATCTGGAATTATTTCCTGAATGCCGTGTGGGCTGGCTTGCCAAAAAGCCGGGTGCCATTTCAGTAAATGTTTATGATTAATCATTAAAACCCCAGAAGACAGTGTTTATCCTACTTTTACGATCCCAAAGTAACTGGTGAGCATTTAAATGTTTGACTAAGTAACCCTTTTCCTGGTTTTGTTTTTGTGAATAGGGTCAAGGGTGAGCTAAGGTGCAGGAGGGCTCCTAACCCCAGCTCTGGTCCCCTTTCCTACCGGCTGTTTCCTGTTATTTACGTGTCAGGGCTTATACTTTGGCCTCGTTGGCCAAAGTGCTTTACTCCAGTTCAAGTGCTTCCGGGGTAGGTGCGACGTTGTGATGTTGGAGAAGTAGGGCCCCTGCGCCTCATCACACGACAATGCACCCGTCCGGGGAGTCTGCAGCCTGGAGTGAGGGACAGCCTGCACCATTAAAGGAACAGGCAGTGCATCAGGGCAGTGGGAGGGGGGCGGGGATAAGGATGAGGAGCACATTGGACATCTCAGCTCAACCCAACCCTAACTCCAGGCTCCCAAGTCCGCTCACACCTACCTGGTTTCTCCTTCCGGCCCTTTACCTTAACTTCCCTGCAGGTATCAGCGCTTCTTATCTGACTACGAGGAGCTCTCAGGGTGGATGAAAGAGAAGTCTGCTCTGATCAATGCTGATGAGCTGCCCACAGATGTGGCTGGTGGAGAGGCCCTGCTGGACAGGCATGGGCAGCACAAGGTAGAGAAGAAGAGCCTCCCCAGGAGGAGGAAGAGGGAGGCGCCAAGCCCCCCAGAAGGTTTCTTGCTGAATTTTAAGACATTCCGTCTTGTGACCCTAGCACGAGATTGACTCTTATGATGACCGATTCCAATCTGCTGAGGAGACTGGTCGGGAACTGCTGGACGTCGGTCATGAAGCCTCTGATGAAGTTCTGGAAAAGGTAATCCAGTTTAACAGTGTGCGAAATTATGATACACATTTAGCCCCACTGAATCTCATGATAATATGATCATCTCCGAACAGGACGAGGGTAGAAGTCGTATCAACCTCTCAAGAAATGAGTCATCCGAAATTCTCAGGACGTGAGGCGTGCTTCCTCACCTCTGAGCCTTTATTTCCTGAACCTACCAAGTTTCATCGACCCGCCTTCTACCTAATTCAAAACCTCCATACCATCTTGCCTTGTCATACTTGTGCTGTTTTATCGCTTTTCCATACTCGCCTCTAGGCTGTAAATTCTTTGAGGACACTACCTACGCATCTTTGGATTCCCTAAGGTGCCTGGCCAACGGCTGGCTTTCTTCTCCCCTCTCGACAACCTCAAATCGCACTGATTTTTCTATACCTGTGTTTCTCAAATCTACATTAAATAACAGGAAAGCTTTACACAGTCTGAATCCCACCCACTGAATAATCAGGTTTGCCATGATCGTCTCCTCCTGAATCGCAAGGACTCACCTCATCCCCCTGACCCCTGAGAGATTTTGCTTCAGACGCAGAGTCACCGAAACTCCTTGGGATGATAAATAAAATAAGATTTGCAGCCTCTTTGCCTTTCATCCGATTCCAATCACAGCCTCCAGTGCTGGGGGTGGGTGAGGTTGAGATGGCCATAGTTTGAATTCACCCCAAACTCTCTGGGAAAAATAAAAAATAGGGATTTTCATTTTTTTAACAATTCTCTGCCAAAGGAAACCGAGATCCTTGCAAATGCATCTGTTATCCTGGGAGCCTGAGAAATCTGTGCTGCCTTTTTCCTGGACTTAGCACGGCAGCATTGCCAATAGACTGGGATTCCTTGGGCAGACGTGTGAGCAGGAGGAAAAGGCTCGTATGGGTTTGAGAATGTCACCTTTCTCTTTCCTTGGGGGTTCTTATTGGCTTTCAGAAGGGAATGCAAACTTCTCAGAACGATCATTTACGTGCTGTATAAACGTCACCTTCCTCCAGCATCCACCTTTTTTAGACACTGCACTTGGCTCTGGGGCACTTATATTATCTAACGATCATTTGGAGTGATGATGCTGTCATGGTGTGCCCTCCTATGATCCCCGTCCCCATCCCCACCCTTTAAATCCCTGTTCGGTGCAACACCTGCCACACTCTACTCCCCGCTTCTTCCCATCGGAATTCATCTCCTCTCCTTCATTTCCACGTATCAAGCGTATCGTTGTGCCTCTGCTGTGGCCTTTACCCTCGTCTCCCTGCCACGTGGTTCACCTAGACATTGACGTCTTCAGAGGAAAGCCCGCTTCTTGTTCATTTGTGTGTCCTTCCGAAGGCCTGGCATTGACTGGGCCCTCACGCTGTCTCCCCCTTTCCGAAGATGACCATACTCGCCAACGACTGGGCTGCCCTGCGAGGGCTGTGGAACCAGCGGAAGCATCAGTACGAACAGTGCCTGTACTTGCACCTCTTCTACCGTGACAGTGAGCAGGTGGACAGCTGGATGAGCAGACAGGAGGTAACGGGAGGGGACCCTTTACCGTGGGACTGCCATCGGCACCCTCACAGCTGCTGCTGAGGGCTGGGGCCTCTCCTAGGACCTGGAGGGTGATCCGTGGGGAGAAGAAGAGAGCAGCCCTGTCCATGAGGCTCCTGGAATTCCCTCATGAACAGAAGCCTAGAAAAATACCGAAATACACAGCAGAGAGGCTTTAACCGCAAGCCAACAGGAGGCCAAATGGGTATCGAATTGCTAAGGGATCAGGGATAGAAAGTTGTGATGAGTCACGGTCAAGCAGAGATGTCCTGAAGGAGGTGAGGGGTCCTCTTGAGGCAGCGCTGGGGGCTCAGAATGGTGCCTGGATTGGCCGGGCGGATTCTGTGTGGACAGACCCAGAGACAGAGGTGGTAAAGGTGTGCGGGAGGATTAGGAAGGCATCTGAAGTTCCTGCTGTTCGAGGTTGGTCCCCACACACCATCCCGCCATGTGCTAATCCCACCTTGCTCTCCCACCACCTCCCTTCCATCCTTAGTCCTTGTGTCAGAGGTGTTCCAAAAGCAATGATTCTCACCAGTGAGGAGAACGGAGTTGTGTCTCTCTGTCTCCTACAGGCCTTCCTGGAAGATGAGGACCTGGGGAACTCCCTGGGCAGCGTGGAAGCCCTTCTGCAGAAGCATGATGACTTTGAGGAGGCCTTCAATGCCCAGGAGGAGAAGATCACAGTAAGAAGCGCCCCCGGTGTGGGTGCCGCATCCATGTCTGTTTGCGTCATCAGACAACTCCCGTCCTCAGAGAGGACCACGTGTCACTGCCAGACATAACGTGAGGATTACTTTTAAAAGAGGAAACATCCAGAAAAGTATTCATACCCATCTTGCCGTCACATTTCTTGTTCCACAAAGCGTTATTTAGAAAGTTTTTAAAGATTTTGGCCATTCGCATTTTCCGATGAATTGCAGGACTGCCTTATTTTTTCTACAGTGTGAATGGTTATTATTGGATCCACATCTGATAGAGAACCATTACTTAGAAGTTTGAAAGGTATTTTACTTATAACGTATTATTTATTTAGCTTTATCTTCTCCAGGAATGTCTCCATTTAGTTTTCTCTGGTATAATCTAGATGCCTAAGTACCACCTATGCATTCCTGTATATCCTCAGCTTTGTGTCTCCCATCTAATGCAACCATGGTCTTCCTGTCAAGCCTATGTTACAATGTCCCAGAAACTGGTCAACATATAAGCAGGGCTCAGACAAGTGCAGGAAGATTTTATTGGTCCGGTAGACTCTATGTCTTTGGCTGTCTCCTAGGCTGGTGCTGGCTTTTAACTCACACACGTCTGCATATAGGACCACAACCAGCAGCAACAACCCTATCAATAAAATTCCAAGCCCTGTCTGTCAATCTTCAGTCAACATGGAGATTACTATGGTCTCTTATCAATCCATGTGATCACTCTGTTGATTGTCACGGGTAAAAGCTAAAATAATTTGTTCTTTTAAAAATAATATCATTTGGGGCGCCTGGGTGGCGCAGTCGGTTAAGCGGCCGACTTCAGCCAGGTCACGACCTCGCGGTCCGTGAGTTCGAGCCCCGCGTCGGGCTCTGGGCTGATGGCTCGGAGCCTGGAGCCTGTTTCCGATTCTGTGTCTCCCTCTCTCTCTGCCCCTCCCCCGTTCATGCTCTGTCTCTCTCTGTCCCAAAAATAAATAAAACGTTGAAAAAAAAAATAATATCATTTATAAATGTTTATTGATTTATTTTTGGGTGAGAGAGAGAGAATCCCAAGCAGGCTCTGAGCTGCCAGTGCAGAGCCTGACGCAGGGCTTGAACCCACACACCGTGAGATCATGATCAGAGCTGAAGTTGGACGCTTAACCGAGGGAGCCACTCAGCTGCCCCCATGCTTCATTTAGTTTATGATTACTTTCCTATTCCTGATCCCTTAACCCATTCTGAGCTCTAAAAATCTGAGGAGTTGGGGGCGCCTGGGTGGCGCAGTCGGTTAAGCGTCCGACTTCAGCCAGGTCACGATCTCGCGGTCCGTGAGTTCGAGCCCCGCGTCGGGCTCTGGGCTGATGGCTCGGAGCCTGGAGCC